GTAAAGTTGCTCAGCCACTGTAAAGGCCAGCTGTGTCTTCTGTGCTCGTCTGCTCTCTGTCTTGCCTCAAAGATTATAACCACAAAAGAAGAGAAAGCAAACACACATACACACAGGCATACACAAAATCTTCACCTTCAGGTTTTCAATCACTACAGACAACTCAACTGCCAGAAATAGCAGGGCTTCCACTTCTACTTTGTCTGACCAGCTCCCATGAAGACAGCCTACTTTTTGCATAATTCTTGCAATAGGTTTTTGAATTTTGCTTTGTTGTTTGTTTTGAAAGATCCACCAGTGCTTGTTTTCACACGCCTTGCTAGGTATAGGTCTCTGGTAGTTGGTGATCACCATCAGGATTACATGCCATTTGGAAACCATGAAAATAACTCAGGTCATTATTCAGATAAGTCTTTCTTCCTTGGTAGAAGGTGTGGAAATGAAGCGAATGCAATTCTTTTTCTTTTTTTTTTCTTTTTTTTAAAACAAGAGCGATTGTTGCGGCAGAGAGGGAGGAGCTGAAAAATATATTTTTAATTTTTTTTCTGTTTTCAATAGTTCATTTGATATGAGCAAAATATTTCTTTAGTATTTCTTCCCCTGGAAGGAAACTATATATTTGTAATCTATAGATCAATGGCGACATGAAATGTATTTTGTCTTATTTTCTGTCTTTAACTTTCTTGTTTAAAAAATAAAATATGAAAGCCAAATTCCTTCCCTTGATAATCATCCAGGGGCTTGTGGCGAAGATCAGTGTGTGTATATATTAGAACAGAATTTGGCAACTGTTAAAATAAAAGATCAGAGTATAACTTTGGTGTATATGAAATTTCCACAAGGAAGATCCTCATGCTGTGGTTTCATGGTAGGCCTTGCATCGTTTCCCAGCTGTGAGGAAAGACATTGCTGTAATATTTCTATATATTTGATGAAAAATAAGAATGATATCAGTATCAGTTTTATGTTTTTGCTTTGTTTTACTGAAGTGAGAAACAGAGGAAGCTTCAATGACACCAGGGCCTGGGTTCTGGCCTATGCTGAGGCCAGTCTGGTGCCTGAGCAGTGGGTGGTCAGTGAGCCCATTGCAGCTCCCTGGTCCTTCAGTCCCATGAAGCAGGTGGAGCAGTAAAGGCTTGCTTTAATCACAGGTGGCCTCCAGAGGCCACATGTGAATTATGATGAGGAAGCTGGATCTGGACCCTCTCTGTCCCTGGTGACCTCCCCTCAGTGAGACATCCCTCGTGCCTGGGGGGTGGCTGCAGCAGGGGCTGGCTCTGGAGCAGCTTGGCAGGATGGGCAGATTTCCTGAGCTCCTTTGTGCCATTTGAACTGCTCAAAGGAGCTAAGAGCACATGAGAGAGTCTGACTTGTCTTTTTGTCCAGCAGCTGGAGTATGGGCCTCTGGAAAGCTGCCTGCATTGTGCACTCAGTAGGAGGCAGTTACTGTAGGATGGAAATAAACCCCAGCACTGGAGATAGGACAGGACCTGGCTGTATGTAGTGCCTTTAATATTCAAGGTGTCCCAAAGCACTGCACACATAATGCATTAGATACTGGCAATGTATTTTTTTTTTTTTTTAGATAACAGAGCATATATATTGTTTTCTGCAATGGCTTACATACAGCCAGTAATATCAGAAGTTGATTTACTAAGAGAAGTGGATTTGGGGCCAGGATGCAGCAGGATTCTTTCTCACCCCTTTGGAAGTGTCATGGGATTCTTAATTTTGGACAGCCACCAGAAGCAGGCAGACTCTGCAGGTGACACGTACGTATTGAATCTCTTGAGCGCTTGGGGTCTAGCTTAGTACAGTATCGTGTCTATGCTATGCAGGGCAAAAATTTCAGTGTGCAGCTGGGAACCCACTTAAATTACATGTAAAAGATTTTGATTTACTAAAAGTGTCTGTTCTGAGGCTGTGTCCATTTATGTGTGTATACTACTATATATATATATGTATATTTATAAATACCAGTATGCATATATATAGGCTTACACACTTATGCACACACACTTTTAGAACTGTGCCATTTGAATGGCGAAGTATCTAGGGATGCTCAGCTACTGAGGTTGCTGGACTGACAGAATGTAATTTTCTATTTTAATTTGTTATTAAAGGGGACACGTTTCAGTAGACCCGAGGAGTTCCTGAATTGTTCCATCGTACTGCTTTTACTGTCTTATTTTGGAGTTAAATGGAGGGAACAAAAATATTTATAATGTTGGTAAAATAAACTTCCTTTTGTTATTTAATAGCATCAGTTACTCTTATTATTTCATGTTGCAATGCTAGAGATACCTTTATTTGTTATACAAGACATGATGATTTCATACATGTCCTACTAATCATAGCATCCCTTAATACTGTGAAGTGTGAGGCTGAGTGACTCATGTAAGACAGGAGTTCAAGGCACATTTTGGCAATTACAAAATGGGTCTCAGACTCCAGTGGCTCTTTCACCATTTCACATGATGGATTGGCTGTGTTATAGCACTTTCAGATGTCTGTAGATGTTTTTACTGACACCTGTCACCCTTGCTTTTCCTCAGCAGCAGTAGAATTGCTCAGTCTCAACTCATGGTGTAGTAGCCTGGATTTGGACTATGTGAGATGTCTCCCTGCTACATAAGGACTGTCATATAGAAGCACCATAGACATAAAGAAAATAGAACAAAATTAATGTTTTGTTGCCATTGATCTTCCCAGTTATATTTGCAGAGCTGATGTTGTGGATTAATGGATGGGACACATGGTTTTTCTGGTGATGTGGTCATGGGAGGTTGGTTTGAGTAGTACTTAATGGCCTCCTTTACTCATTTTTGTCTTTGTCTTTGCTGTGACAGTGACATGTATGGTAGTGAAAGTCACTAACACACAACCTCATGTACAAGATGGCTATTTTCCTTCTAGCTATCTCAGATGCCTCCTGTGGGTTGTGCTTATGTGTTGACCCTTCCAGTATATCAAAAGCATGTTGAGATGATCTTTCTCTGAGCACAAGCTATGAAATGGGAAAGGTACTTTAGTTGCCTTAAGCTCGGTGGGGATTTAATGGTACTCAACAAATGTATGGACATGCTGGGAATTTGGATGCCTTGAAAACACTCCAAGGACAATTCTGTCCTTGCACTCCATGTACTCCAAGAAGGAAGAAGTTCCTCGTGTGATCCATTTGAGGTCTGTCATTTTGTTTCTCCCCCTTTTTACTTCTTTTGCACCAGACTAACATCCATGGAGAAGTATTTTATAAGAATGGTGTTTAAGCTTGTTCAAAGCAACATTTCTGCCTCTATTATACCTATTCTTTTCCATTCATCAGACATTATTTCCTATCTTTATTTCCATTACTGAATCTGAGCCAAGCAACATTGGATTATTAGCTTCCTAATCTTTAGTCATTTCAGCAGTCCTGGAAACAGTTTATCATGCACCTGTGAAGTGATAGGACACAGTATTGCAGGGCTCACTGTGGTACTCATCTTTTCATTTTGCTTTCTTAACAACAATGGAGGTAACTATTTTTCTTAGTAATGGATAGCTGCTGCTTTAAAATCCCATGAGCTACCTGCCAAAATCTGTAGATTGCAATGGCCACTCAGTAATGTGCTAAAAGTGACTTGCTAGCATATTGATGAAGACCGGAATTTTATGTGGAATATGTGTCTCGAGCTTCAGTGCTTTAACTCCCTTTGGAAGTGCAGGATGCACATTATGGCTGCACTGTGGAAATGACTCAAGAGGAGCTGTAACCCAGCCCTGCACCCAGCTCTCTGGGTGAACTGAATATACAGAGGGGTCAGGATGTCTCAGCCCTTGTGGGAGATGTCCCTGCCTGTGGCAGGGGGGTTGGACTAGGTGATCTATAAGGTCCCTTCCAACCCCAACCATTCTATAATTCTGTGGTTTGCTGAGAAGTTACCAGGGTGGACTGCAGCAGCTCAGCACTTGGCTTTGTCTGCCCAAAAGTAGGCCAAGTATTTGGGCAGTTTCTCACTTCTAATTCGATTTTAAAGCTAGCTTGGGAGGGATAGACTACCCAGCAGTGAAAGCAGTGACTGTGGCTAAATGTATTCCACGTTGGGCCATGCATGGCACCACGCTTCTCCAGGCTGCCTAGCTGAGATCCTCTGTAGGCACCAGAGTTCAGGGGCCTCCCTTTCCTTCCCCAGCATGTTTCCAGCCCCGCTGTCCTTAGTGGTGCCCACAGAGAGGGGCTTTCTCTTGTCCCCTG